TCTTTTGTTTGGCTGGAAGCCACAGGAGTGGGTTCAATTCCAGACCTGAAGGGCAGCTAGGGGCCATAGTCTCAGGAGTTCTACCAGGCTCTATCAAACCATCAAACCTGGTCCCCCCCCCCCTTTTTTTTTTATAATGAATTTGAGTTTTATTCCACATTGTTCTCCCACTCTATCCAGGATCTCTTACATAGATCTCCCTCTGAGTGGTTGACAGTGGTAGCTGGGCACCATCTAGTTTTTCTGGTCTCATAGTCTTATAGGCTGAGGACTGCATGGTGTACCAGTCCCCTGGACTAACTGTTTCCATGCGTCTTTGGTTTTCTTAATTCTTCTTTTTTTCTGGACAAGGAGAGACCCATTGTTGCATCTAGATGACCTCTTGCATGCTTTTAGAATCCCAGTCACTACTTGCCAAAGTAGTACATGGAACAATGTTTTTATGTAGTATGTTATGCCAGTTGAGCTTGATGTCCCCTGCGATCATGGTCTTGAGCACACAGGTCTAACCATTTGCTCCCTCTGGGTTCCTGGCTATGGCCAAGAAGTGACTACAACCTTGTCCCTTAAAGACAGAGATTTTAAAAACGATTTTGTTTTACTGCTATATATCTAGCCCTTAAAACACCAAATAACCTATGGCAGGAGTGCAGTAAATTCTTATTGAGTGAATAAAAACCAAAGTCAAACCCACTGCCATCAAGTAGATTCTGACTCATAGCAACCTCCATTGGGTTTCCAAGGGTGTAAATCTTTACAGACGTAGATCGCTTCATCTTTTTTCTGCAGAGCAGCTGGTGGCTTTGATTTAGTGAATAGGTAGGTATAATTAAGGGAATAAGAGCTGATTAACAGTTAAGGCTAATAGAGTATCATGCTTTCAGAACATTGGTTTTGGAATCAGGAAACTTGCGTTGGATTTCCAGCTCTGCCACTTAATCTCTCTGGGTCTCATTTTCTTATCTGTTAATGAGAAAAATAATAGTATGTACTTCATAGGACTTTTTGTGGTGAGAATTGAGGTTTTTTTTTGTGTGTGTGTGTGTCTGTGTGTACATATATAAAGTCTTCAGTATGGTAAACCCCCCCCCCCCCAAAAAAAACCAAAAAAACCAAACACATTGCCGTCGAGTCAGATCCAACTCATAGCAACCCCTCCTTGGGTTTCTAAGGTGGTATCACTGCAGAAATAGATTGCCCAACCTTCCTTCCGAGGAGTGGCTGGTGGGTTTGAACTGCCAGCCTTGTGGTTAGCAGTCAAATACCTTAGGCACTGTGCCACCAGAGCTCAGTATGGTAAGTGATTAATAAATTATAGTAAATTGTTTAGAAGTATGTTTGCGTACAGGAGGAGCTCTATCAGAGTTGACTGCATGAGTAGATTAAATGTTGATGTTTAACAATGATGCTATAAAATTCTGGATTTGGGAAGTTTGGGAATATATGATAGATTTCCAGTTTCAGTCATTTTATTGTCTGTGATATGTTAGGATATGTATGCAGGAAACTAGGTGTCTGCAGTCCACATAATTCTCAGAAAACACTGTGTTTAATTTTATGGTGTAACTTCAACATTCAACATTTATTCTGATTTTGGTGACTTTAAATATAGTAACATAACAATGGGAAATAACAAGTAAAATGCTATCATATCTTAATTTGAAAAATAGTTCCCCTCCCTCAGGATTTTTTCTAGACCTTGTCCATAAATACTTTAAATTTTGTTTAGTTTGAATAATAGCATTGATGAAATTTTATATTTTTCTTTTTATACTTAACCTAATGATACAGCATCTTGTCAGTGTTGCTACAATCTTTATTTTTAGTAGTTTTCTAATACTCTGCTAAGTCCTACTGGAAGAGCAGGAGAAAGGGGATAAAAGCCAGGAACCCGGACAGAAGAGCAGTCAGCCCCAGGGTTACAGGTGAGGAGAGACAACTCAGGGACGCCCAAAGCAGCAGGTGGGAAGAGCAGGAAAAAGGGGATTAAAAGC